TCTTTGAAATTCAGATACCATCCGCCAAATGACTTTTTGGTTTCCTCTCTTCAAAATCATCTCAATCACTCATGCGTGAAATATGCGTCATATGAGTTGCAGCAAATGAAAGAGGAGGATATAAGCTTTACAAATATGTGTCATTTTTTACTTATAAATATGATTAAATTATGATGAAACATCGATAATTCTCGGTTTCGTTTTTTTCTGGGCTGACGCACTGTATAACAAGGCCACACAGAAAGTAAACGATTTGGGGCGACAGTTCGTCTCTCACGAAAGTTTTCTTTTCCGCTCAGATTGCTTCTCTCAATTTTCCTCCTTCATCTATTGATTAACATTCAATCGAGGGGGAGAGGGGGGGGGCATGGTAACCCATGCACCCCCCCCCCGTAGCTGCGCTATTGCTTGTCCTTGAATGAGCATTTCATGTCATCTGAGCAACATTGCTTGGGCTGCGGGTGGCAATGGAACTAAATAATACCCCTCGCTTTATTTTGATTTCCTTGGGGCATGTACGATAAGTGTTGGTAGCATCAATATCTTATCACAGAATCTCAGTTTTCTTCATGGCTTTTCGGTAGAAAATATTTTACAGCGCGCAGCTCAGGTCACCAATCTATCAAGATTTGTGTATCAAATCACTCTGCATATAAGAATCAATTAGTTGTTTTAACATCTTCAAACTTTAACTTAGGAAAGTATGTAAGTTAAACTCTCATCGTATCAATGGCACATATTAAAGCCTGGTATGGTTAAATATTAGGAATAGTGTCAGGAAGACATCGAGGGTTAGTTGTCTGACTAAAATGCATAAGGTCGAGCTGGTAAGAAACCAGATCCGGCCATGCATGTGAAATGACTTTAAATGTTATCATTCGTAAGAAAAAATACACAGATTTTGTATTTGTTGTTACGTCATAATAGCTAAAACCTCACGCATCATGCATATGCATGATCTGATTAAAAGTACGCGTATATATAATTTGCATAGTTGACAAGATCTGTGTTGAAGTCTGGACGTCTTTTTGTCAGATTTATGTCGCGAATCTGAGTGACTAATGATGTCTTTGCTCCTTTTTCTTTGTATTTTGGGCATCAAAAAGTCGGAAGGAAAAATACGAGAGGGTTCCATCAACAATTACAAGGTAACTAGACCAGAAAAAGCCAATAAAGTTAGACACTACCCTGGCAGGTAATTTTAGCGGACCCCATCCGACGTGTCGCCTGCGCTGCGCTGTGCGTGCCTGTCCAATGTGCCTAGCCTGTGGTCTAGTCTTCAGCTGGCCTTGAATAAGGCTTCACTGCACTGGCCACTGCAAGCTCTCTTCACCTACTCTTCTCTCTGTCTCTCACTAGTACTAGGCCTAGATGATAATCTAGTATCACTTTGTTAAGTTTCTATCACTTATACTCAGTTAGTAATAATAGTTTAAAGACGGCTCAGTGTGTCACTAAATAGTAAATGTTACTGTTACTTGTTAGGCCTAGACTAGATAAAGATTGAGGATGGTGACTGATGACATTCACTGATGTCTGAACTCTGATGATACACAGCTTGATGGGTGATGGTGATGTCTGATGATGATGATGATGATGATGATGATGATGATGATGATGGTAGGCCTAGTGCAGTGGGGGTGATGGTGAGGATGATTGTGACAGTGACAATAATGATGGTGATGAGTTGATAATGGTAGATCTAGACTCTATATGATAAATAATGCAGAGATTGATGATGATGAAGATGATAATACTTAATAGAAGACAATGATTAATGAATGAAGTCCCTGCCCCAGTCCCAGAGCCAGGCCAAGCTTAATGAAATTTTTAAATCTTAAACGTTTTATTACTTTTAATGAAAAAGCTTTTTAAAGTTTTATTTATGGGCCAGATAGTGACCTAGAATTTGGAAAATAGCAGATCCCTAACAAATTGGATGTAGCTTGGATGGGTGTTATAAAACTCAAACCTCTTCACTTTCTCTTAGTTTTAATATCATCATTAGATCCAGTCTATTTAAAATCTAGACATAGATCTAGGTCTATATAGATCTAGATCAATAGTCAAACGTTAAAGTTCTGGGATGACCCTAGACCATGTAGACCTAGTCTAGACTCAATATCTAGGATGGTAGAAAATGTTAAATCTTTGTTGTTGAAATTTCACTTTGACTCTAACATTTCCTGAAGCAATAGATCTAGAACTTGATTCTAGGTCTATATTTAGACATAGATCTAGACTATATAATGTTAGAAATGTATATTATCTGAATCTAGAACAACAGTTACACAGGTGTTTATCAAGATGTCAAAATGTCTTTTGTCATTTTTTTGTTCTTATTCATCCCAGAATACTGTTTTCCTGGAGTCATTTGCATATGGAACTGACAATGTTAACTTCCTGCAATTCAAGTTTTTCTTCCCTTCTGTAAGTAGCCCTTTCTAATAATCATTGCCACATGGCATATATACTGTATTGAGATAATTGATACCTCAAAAGCTTGTACTGATATTGGTAGACTTGCATGTAATTATTTAGTTGACTATTTGTTGATAACATGCTTAAATTGCATGTTTAGGTATGTAATATGAAAGTGCTACATGTAAATGATGTTGATGCATTTCAGAAATAAAGTTGCTAAACTCCCAAACTTCATACCAGTAGATCATGAGTTGGAGACTGACAGTAGCCTAAGTTGGCCCTTCATAATTTAAATAATTTTTCTCTTACCTCACAGAATCTTCATGGCTATGAGCTAGCAATGTTTGATGACTCTGTCAATCAATGGCCTTTTGTCAGAAAAAACGAGGAAAGTTTGGTAAGTTTGCCTCGTAAAATTGTCTAAAAGAGAAACAAAAGACAATTTTAAGCAAGTTTTGTCTTGTTGATTAATGAATATTCATATTTTATTGGTTGTGTGGACCTTATATTTTAATCTTTGCAATGTTACAAAGTTGATACATGAATCACAAGTAGTATTTAATAAATACATTAGCAATCATGGTTAGTGTTTTGTTGTTCTTTACTTCTTTATGATAGAATTGATGATCATTATATTTCACACTTTATGAGCCTACCTTGAATTTCAAGAAGAAAGAAAAGTATATCAGAAAAAAATTACAAATCATATTCAGTTTGGGCAATTAAACTGCTTACATCATTGACACAGTTTTTGTAAAAGCAGCTTACAAATAAAATTCAATTGAATACAATATTGATCAATTCTTACATTTTTGATTTTTGATTTTTTTTCTTCTTCAGACTTGCTCTGAAAAGCTTTCTAAAATCACTGACCTCAGCTTTAAGGTCAATCTCACAGAGACAGCAAATCAATGCAAGGTGACTTGGAAATCAAAAGAAAAAGTGAGTATTGAAGACCATTTAAAAGGGGATGGAAAACATTAAATACCCATTTTTCAAATCATTAAATCAAACTGCATTTTGGCTGTTTATTATGATAATAGGTTCATGTCTTCATCCGATAGCAGCTACTTTATATGAATATGAATTGAATTACAAGAACTTGGTTCTTTGCTTTATCTAAAACAACATTATACTCAATCTAATTAGAAGCTTGTTAAATACAACCCAAACTAGTAGATTTGAAAGTTGTCCTTTTTTTCTCCGATAGTGATTCAATACTTCAACATCTACACCTGATAACAGCAGCTTACTACAAACAAACGCACAAGCAAAAGATATCAGCTAGATTATCACATCAATCATTTATTTTCCACTTTCATGGAGAGATTTAGAATTTTTGTAGGTTAATTATATGCCAAAGGATGGATTAAATTTTGTATTTTGCAATAGTTACTTGACAACTCAACATCTTCATCTGATAGCAGTCAGTTAAAAATAAGCCAAGATATCAATACAAATTCATTATTTGTTAATGCTGATGTTATAATTCAACATCTTCATTTCAAACTACCTATTATTAAAAAAGAACAATCTATCAAATTGAATGATATTTTCCCAAAAGTTACAACATATATACTTCAACATCTTCATCTTATAGTAGCCAGGTAAAAAGAAAAGAAAAATCAGCATTGCAACTTTATATTTTTCAATAGAGTGATGTAAAATTTAAACCACTGACTTAGTCTGAATGTACAGTTAGTTGAATTCAGGCTAGATTATAAATCAAGCTTCATTTTTTCTATAGTCAAGTCAAGTGATGTAATACTTCCGCATCTTCATCAGATAGCAGATCTAACATTGTTTTTCATGCAGAATAAAATCTTTTTGAGATTAATTTTCTGTAACTATGTTGATGATGCTTACGGAGATATCGTTTAAGGTTAATAAAGGGAACTAACTGCTCAGTCCTATCAGAGGGACAATGTGATTGAATATTGATACCAGACAAGGGTTCCAATGTATAACCATGATACCCCACTTTTCAAGATTCATTAAAAAACAGTTATGCCTAGATCCTGTGCCCTACTCTAAATCAAATGGAAAAAAAAGACCATTACAGACAGATGGCCTTTATAGAGAGGTGGCCACTAAGACAGGTTTGACTGTTATTGATATAAAAATGTAACTTCTTCTTCGTCTTCTCCTTCTTCTTTTTCCTTTCCTTCTTCTTTCTTCTCCTTCGTCTTCTCCTTCTTCTTCTTCTTCCTTTTCTTCTTCTTATTTTCATTTTTATTGCATACAATGGATTTATAATCCAAATGTTCTAATCTCTGCAATCCCAGTATTAAATTGATAGTCTTGTATGTTTTTACTATGTCAACAACAGCTTAAATAAGTAAACAAATAATGAACTATCAAACCTATTTGCTCAGATTAAAATGTAGTTAAGATTTACAGATCAGTACTCACTTTGACCTATTTCTTAAATAAAAATAATTGCTTTAAATTTCTTGATCTCAATGTAATACAGTGGCTTCTCTGCAAGGGATACAAAGATTTCTCTTCGAACGAGAAGCCACGTCGATACTTCTTCCAGCTTGCAAACTGTCATGGCTCGGAGAAAGCTGGAATCTGGAACGTGACCTACAGACTTCATATGACTAATGGACTTAAGCCCTCAGAATGTGAATTTTCTTACGACCAAAGATGTAAGCAATTCTTGGTAGTTGAAAGGTATTATTCTATAAAACTCCTGTGAATGCGTTTCAAACAAAGAAAAGAAAAGAAAAAAACAATAATACAGGGTCTAATGTTTGTTTAAAATGTAGCTTTTTTATTTGCTGAAATGTAATCAGAAGATATTGTGTGAAGGGGCCAATTAATTGCAATGTCTATCCTTTTGTAATGCATGAAGATTTAAGAAAACAAAAGTAATAAGTTGCATATCCAGTGCAATACATGCATTTATAATTCCTCATACATTTGTGTAGAACTATACTTTGATGATCATTTATTTGTTTATTGGCAATTTGTTTTCTTTCTTCCAGATTTAATGGGGACTGATGTTGGATTCTTCTTTTCATATCTTGGAATACTTCTTATAGCAACCCTCAACCATGGTATGCAACGTGTGATTCTAATTCTTTGTCCGTTTACAAATTGTAAATTACAATATCCATTTCTTCATAGAGGCTATTGTATTTTGGTGAATATCAGTACCAGTTTCTTTACCCTATGACTAGTGATTACTCTAATTCCCATAAGCTTCATAGAGGAACCACCCTGTTGATCCCCTGATGCGATGGGGTAATTAAGTTGATGAGTGATTGTTTTGTGTGCCACAGGTTGTCCTGTGTCATTATTTTGCAGATTCATATATTTTGTTTTTGACCATCTAGTTTGTGACCATCCAGTGTTTGACCATCCAGTTTGTATTATTGAAGAAAAAAATTGAAGGAAATTACATGTAGATAAAGGATCAACATTTCATTTTGAGACAAGACAAAGATCAACAATCTATTGCAGTTTTACATGCACATGGAATAAAGGAAGAATACTCAAGCTGAAATAATTTGAAAGTAAAAAAAATATGAATGAATGAGGTAAATTTTAATAATTTCGATTCTCCTTGCCTTGCAGTAACACTTTCCAGGAAGCACCTCCTTCATGTGACATACCGACTGTTCTATCTAAGTCTGAGTCTCCAGCTGGCTTCTCTATTTCTACACTGCACAGCCCTTGGTCAGTTTGCAATCAATGGAGTAGGTGTACCATGGATGAGCAATACCGGTAAGGCATTGATGAGTAGAATTATACAGATTTGATGTACTTAACACAGCCTGTTTAACAAGGCCAAAAATGTTCCATCGATTAATATTTTTAAGAACGCCTGTTTTTTTTTCCTTTTAAAACCTTTTTCTTCTTCTCCTTTTCTTTTTTTGAAACAAGGTCATTGCTCCACTTGCTGACTAAAAATGTAATTTGATATATTAAATTGTGCCTTCTCAAGCATATCTCTTCTCTAATGGGCATTTCTCCTTCCTCATCTTCTTCTTAACCCCACATGCAGCTCATCCTTTTGTATTAATTTCTGGCCCCCGATCCCTCACCTTTTTGGGGGCATTATTGTCTACTCTTTGTATTGTGACCGTATTCTCCTATCTTTGTCATGTAAAGTAGTTTATTTTCCCCTTCTCGTCTTTGTTGCATCCCCCTTTTTTTCCCCCTATTTGTAGTTCCTTTTTCACGGTAGTCACAAATTTGTTAATTTAATTACACATTATTCCTAAATATCATTTGAGGGGTCTACATTTTAAGCATTAGGGACTTTTAGATGTACACGACGAGAACAAGGACCACCACGTGTGACATCCTTTTAAGGTAATGTGACGTCCTTTTAAGGCACGGCTCAGTGCCTTAACACAATGCCACACGCGGCAGTCCACGCTCTCATCGTGTAAATCTAAAATTCCCTATTGACTTCTAGTGGACCCCTCTGTTACCAATATGATGTAAATGATTATAATTGATTTGTAATGTTTTGTTGTAAACAGAAATAAAATTGGATTGAATTTAATTGTATCAAATTATCCCTTCTAAACCTTATAAGGTTCATTTCATTTCATTCACATGCAGAACTATTTAGTATTTTCTTCTGTAAATATTTATTTGGATAAATTTGATTAAAAATGAGGAGTATTATGTCTGTTTCAAGCTTTATCTGATGATAAAATAATATGATAAAAAAACGTCTGAGGATTGTATGAGGAAATACATCATTGAACTTAAACTTTCTACCTTCTCCTTTTCAGCTGATATCTTGTATGGCCTATCAAGTGTGATATTCCTAGCTCTTCTCTTGTTGGTCTCTAAGGGCTACACAATTACCAGGTGGGTTCTTATAACCAAAACTTCCATGTAGAGATTTTTGTTGTTGTAATACATGTCATTGTAATAACCGGGCAGCACCAGGAGCGTCACGGCGTGGCGGACATGCACGCTATATAAAAAGCCATCATAAGCATTCTTGCTTATGATAGTTGGCCTCTGCATTTAGCTTGATTATTTTACTTACCTTGATACTTTCAAGCTTTCAATTATGCATTTTCTATTTGTGTGTATTTAAGTTGTCACTCTTTATGTAAATCAATTATATAATATACTATTATTGTTATTTGAATGTTTTATATTTGATTTATCAATAAATGCAGAAACATCTGCAAAAAAAAAAATATATATTATTATTTATTATGCTTCATATTAAGGTACAAAATAGGTGAGAAACAGTTATTTATTCATAATTCTGGGCCTGTCTTATAAAGAGTTGCGATTGATTTTAATCAATAGCAAATCTTCTAATCAATGGCAAATTTGCAGTCCCCTATCTTTGATGTACATAGTTGGGATCGATATTAATCGCAAAAAAATTGCAATCAATTGCAACGATTTATAGGATGGGGTTCAGGTTTTTAATGGGGACATTTCCTTTGCCTTTATGTAGAGCCCGTATGAGCGTACATGGTTCTGTGAAGCTAACAATCCTCACTATCCTGTATGCTGTTACCTACGCCTATCTGGTTTTATTTTGTCTTTCTTCTTGTTTTATATTTTCTTGTATATACTAGCTGTATGAATAATTCATTACATCAGGGCCTCATTTCACAAAACTTGTCATCAGTGACAAATGATAGTCTATAAGCTAGTGAAATCCTTGCTTCTGATTGGTTATCGGCAGATTTGTCACTGGTTCTTGTCATTTGTCACTGATTCTTGTCATTTGTCACTGAAAAGAGGCTTTGTGAAACAGGTCCCAGGTCGTCATTCTGAATAATCTATGACAATATATCATTGCCTTTGACTTTATGTAGAGCCCGTATGAGCGTACATGGTTCTGTGAAGCTAACAATCCTCACTATCCTGTATGCTGTTACCTACGCCTATCTGGTTTTATTTTGTCTTTCTTCTTGTTTTATATTTTCTTGTATATACTAACTGTATGAATAATTCATTACATCAGGGCCTCATTTCACAAAACTTGTCATCAGTGACAGATGATAGTCTATAAGCTAGTGAAATCCTTGCTTCTGATTGGTTATCGGCAGATTTGTCACTGATTCTTGTCATTTGTCACTGATTCTTGTCATTTGTCACTGAAAAGAGGCTTTGTGAAACAGGTCCCAGGTCGTCATTCTGAATAATCTATGACAATATATCATTGCCTTTGACTTTATGTAGAGCCCGTATGAGCGTACATGGTTCTGTGAAGCTAACAATCCTCACTATCCTGTATGCTGTTTCCTATCTGGTCTTCTCCATATACCAAAACATACTGGTGGATCCTAGAGATATCCTTGCTTTGTATAGCATCAAGGTTGCAGCTGGTCCACTCGTGTGCCGCATTACAGGTACTTCATGTACATGACCTTGTCCCCCCAATCCTGAATAAACTATGAGAATTGTTTTTCACTTATCCAAATTGAAGTCGAGTATGTGTTGTTTCATTGCTGAAAGGTATTTTTATTGTATTAGTTTGGGTTTCTGACAAATATTTCAATTGTAATAGTAGGAATTATCATTGGAGCAATGCACAAAATGACAAAAATGTTAAAATTGGGATGATGGAGAGCACTGTCTGAGTGGATATCTTTGCCCTTTATAATTCATCATCACGGTTATTACAGCTATTTCGGATGTAACCAAAATCTTGTTTGTTTCTCTATTATACATATGAAAGGTCAATGAAAGGTTGTATATGTGGGGAGGAAGGTCTGCGGATCACAGTTATTTGGTTAACTTTTTCCATACCCGGGCAGCTCGACCAGATGCACCTGCTATTGCAATATTTATATATGCAACGTCGATCTGGCGCTGCTCAGTGGCTGCCGGGCTCTCGATCAATAGGGCAAAAAGAATTTCCGTTTCGGTTTAATAAAATTTGGAGTGGACTATTAGGCTATTATTATTATTATTATTATTATTATTATTATTGATTTTTTAAAAATCTCAATTCATGTTTGTTATATTGTTGTATTTATGTGACTTGATTTGCCAAATAAAATAATAATAATAATATATATATATATATATAATATAAACAAGGCCACCATTGGCTTTTGCTTTGTTCTCCTATTTCATTCGAAGTCATTGTATAAACTGAACATTCTTTGCCTTAGTATGTATATAATACTTGTACCTGTATGTTCATTTGCTTTTGCTGTATTTTTTATGATAATGAATGCATAAACGAACTTAACTGAACTGATATATATATATACTTGTATGGAAGATATATTGCTTTTACAGGAAGTACACATTTATAGTGGGGGAAATTCCGTTGATTACCCTTTAGCTTAATATGGGTCATTTGTTGACTCTCACTGTCGTCATTCACACTGAGTGAATATATCAAAAACATTAAAGGTATAGACCAGTTTTGGAAACGCCCCAAATTCAAAAAATGAAATGGAAGCTCTCATTACCAATCATGTGAAAGAATATGTTTTGACTAATACATGATGATAAAAAATTTGCCGGGAAACTGCCTACTAATTCATATATTAAGTAAATTTGTTTCTCTCATGGTCTGTGAGAGATATAGGGTAGTCCCATATACATCTTTCTGTGTATACTGCTTGTAACTTTACGAAGAATGGGCCAAATTTCTTATCATTTTGATGATTCCAGAACCTTGCAGATGCTAGATGCTAGATGATCAACCTTTTCTGATCGATTCCACAATGTTTCTTTCACAATGCAATCGCATGACCATAACTGGTCTTTACCTTTAATATGGGTCATATGTCCCAAGATCCTTATATATCAAGATTTACTGTTCACTCTCGTCTTGATTAACACTGAGCGATTACATCACAAACATTAACCAAAATCGTTCCTTTATTAATATGCAGGCCTCATTTGGACCATGAAAACATCACAAAAATTAATAAAAATTTGTTCCTATATTATTATCTGATGCAGGCCTTATTTGGACCATGTATGGAGTTTTCTACACAGCGAGGGGTCATCCTGACAAGCTTGCTTTCTATATACACTTCTCATGCTTCTTCTCAGTATGGTTTATGACTGAACCTGTGTCTCTCATTCTCGCTACTTCATCTGTGTTTCGTAAAATGGACAGGTACATGATAATCATCTCAACTCTTGTAATAATAATGATAATAATGATACATTTCGTCGCTGTTTTCACGAAGTGACGGTAGTGAAAAAAAATTGCATTCACTTTGCGTTACGATTTTCCTCACTACCGTCACTTCGTGAAAATAGGGACGATTTATAGAGCGCAGAAACTATCCAACATTAAGTATATATTCTAGTGCGCTATATACAAGAGCTCCTGATATGGTTAGATTTATAGTTAATTGAAAAGATGTGCTTTCAGTTTTGATTTAAAGATATTCACAGATGGTGATGATTGTTAATGGATTATTGACCATCTCTGATACGTGGGAATATTTCCTGTGTATATTTTCATACCACTGAGATGTTTCCTTACAATTGTGAGTTAACACAAACTCTATTGTACCAATTTATCATATGGATGAAACATATCCATGTTATTCAGTCAATTTGATCACAGTTCCATTCTGTTATCTCTAAACAATAACATTTTCAATACTTTCCTTTCAATTTTGTTATGGCTGTATATAATCAGGTAACATATAATTTATCTTTAATTTTGCTAATTCCTGTTTGTGTACAGAATTTGTTAATTTTGGAAACAACAACTTCAATATCAAGCTGTATATCTTGAACAAGATGATGTCAGTTAATTCTAATTCAAATTCAATACAAACAATACCTTCAATATCAAAGTCAATGGATTTAGACTATCATTGATTGTTGACACAAATCACTCCATAATAATGTACTTTACCTCGATTATTTCTAAAAAGCTCTGTCTCTTTTTTTCATTTTTCAACACATTTTCATTTTTCACCCCATTTTATTCTCCTGAAATTGTCTTCTTGCAAATCAAGTGCTCTAATCAGCAATGGCCTACAGCTTCTGACGGCTTTCCTTGGACATACGTACTTCCTCTTTCTCACAATGCCCAACACACTCAACAAGTGCTTCCCATTTCATCTTCCAGTCTCAAAGGTGTGTTCTTGGTATGGTCAGAGCCATCTATATACAGAGTTTGGCCAACTTGGTTTCACTGGGTCACAACATGGCGTATATTCTTTTGTTTTGTGCTTGCCCAACAAAGCAGTAGTAGCCATATTGTGTCCAAATCAAACCGGGTTGACCAAACTCTGTGTATAGATGGCTCTTGGACTGATATGGTATTTATTTACTTTCCAAATTACAATATAAAAAAACAATACAACAAAATAGAAAAGTACATATAACATTAAGAATATAGTGAATGGCTGGATAGCCAACTTAGCTTTGTTGAAAATGGTTCTTTCTAGAAGTCAACAAAATTAAAGTAAAAATTTGCAATAAAAACAAAATTCAGCAATTCAACCTATAGTCATAAAACTGAAGACATCTAAAAATAAAAAACACATCTAAAACTGTTAGCCCTCTTCTTAAAACCATTTGGTATTAGATTGAGATTTTTTGTCTTTAGAGTATAATATGGTGTATAACTTTGAAGAACAAATATTAATTTCATGTTTTATACATAGCTGCCAACCATTCTTATTTGGAGGAATGATTACTATTTTTTGGCCTTCATTTGTTATTGTTTTGAACCCCATAGATTCCTCTCTTTTTCTGAAATATTCTGTGTGAAAGGTACGTACAAAAACAGACTCTATTCCCAATTTTGCCATTGAGAGTTTCCTAGTTTTTGCTATGAAAGGTTGGCAGGTACTTTTGTTTGGCATAGGTGTTAATTACTATTCCTATCTTGCTGGAGTGTTTTTTGAATGATTACTTCATGTCCACTAAAGGAATTAATAACCAAGATTTCCTCTCTTTTCCTAAGATTGTCATGTTCAAGAGCTTCTAAATACGTTTTCCTGATTAATTTGCCTTGAGAAATTCTCTTGAAGGATTCTGCTCTCCCGTGTTGGCAGGCATGCTTAAATCCCCACTAGAATCAAGTGCCAGTAGACTATATAGTTAATCTCCCTCAAGCCCTGTGTTCAAACTGCCAGAATATTGGTGTCTGGTAGTTGAACAAACTTTGTGAAATACTTCTTGAGCATTATAACATTTGGAATTTTAAAACACAAGTGTTAAATACTTTTTTTCAAAACATAAACCCCGAACTGGCTTTCATCTTATCATCATTCTATAGTAATAATAATTAATAACAATAATAATTTTTTTTAGGGTAGCCTCATCAGTATTGATACTGTTCTCTCTCTGAGGGCCCTGCAATCATATTATTACCCTTGGTTTAGCCTAGCTACCATGAAAAGGCGTTTCTTCCTACCAGATACCCATTTACCTCACCTGGGTGGAGAGTGGCAAATCTAGATTCATGTCTTGCCAAACGACATTACTGTCACGGCGAGACTCACCGCATTTGGAATTTTAAAGCTTTATGTACTATTTCAGAACATAAACCCCCAACTCGATTTCGTCTTATCATTTTATAGTAAAACATACCTCTTGATTGCTATTAATTTCAGGTTGGGATCCTTCCTGCAACAGAAGATGTTGGATCTCTGTATAAACCCTCTGAAGATCACTATGATATCTTCTCCAATCGAAGTCCAAACTCTGCCAGAGGGACGGTCAAATCTGCAAACGTAAATCATACATAGCTGCCGACCATTCCTTTTTTTTGAAAAAATGATTCCTGTTTTATCGGCCTTCAAACTAATAATTGTTTTTAACCCTAGATTCCTTTCCTTTTCTGTTATATTCTGTGTGAAAAATACAACATGGACTTTTTTCCTAATTTTTGCTGTGAAAAGTTGGCAGGTATGATCATATCACTTAAAATGAAAATTATTGTTGTTAGCTAATGAGTTTCATCACATTATTGCTGTACTAGTGTCATCTATAAATGCTTGTTAAAAACCATGAGATTCTTTTACAGTGTTTACCATAAGCAACAATACAATATCTTAGAGCATTTATATGTGTTATAAATCATGAAGCAGAGTGCATGATCACTCCGAGGCATTTCAATCTTGATGATGCTAGTTAAGTACCGTATAATGTCAGACAGTGTAAAATCAGTAACTTCCAAATTTTCAATCTTCTATTCATGATATTAGGTTTGTCAGTTTACAGGCTTTAGCCATTTCATTCCTAATACCTTCCCATTTCAGGCTTCATATGTTCAACAAAAAGTGAATTTTGACATGTATGTGCTAGTTTTGAGACTCATTGTCTAAAATATATCAAAAATGTGTCCATTGCATCATATTAGCCTCTTTATCTCTTGCGTAATAGAGTGGTGAAGTGTGACGTCATAAAAATCTTTTTTAGAATTTCTCAATTTGAACTTCATTTTACGAAAGAGCATCAAAAATAATTTTCCATTGTCGAAAACCAATTGAATTACAAACCAGAGCAAAATAACACTGAGTTCTTATAGGAAATCCATTTATTACGATGGTCATATCTCAGCCAATACTTAACATATTCAATTGGTTTTTTACTTTAGGACATTATTTTTGATGCTCTTTCGGAAAATAAAGTTCAAATTGAGAAATTCTTTGAAAAAAATGTTTACGATGTCACAGCTTCGGTACTCTATAAGAGTACTCTCATTCTCTGCTCTCCTACCTTTTCTTACAGTCTTCCTCTTCAGACCCTATTGATCTTCCAAGAGTCTCCCTTCATAAAGAATCAAATGATGAACAGAGAAGACAGAGTGTTAATACCCGAGTGGCATCAACAACATTGTCGACAAGACTGGCAATGCCTTCACCTCCCCAGGAATATTTGAATGAACCTGAGGTTGTATGATTTTAGTGCATATCACTTTTTGGTTACAATAACCACTAGGAGTTTTATTATGATTATTATCAATTAATTGATTATCATCATTTTCATTGTCACACTTGTTTGTATTTTTATGTCTCCCTCTTCTACTTCTACTACTACTACTACTGCTGGTGCTGCTGCTTCTACAGTGTACTACAACCACCATCACTACTACATTTTGTCAGTACAAGAATTTTCATCCCCCTCCAATTACTGCAATAGATGCAGCATTTTTTAAATAGTTTTAACTATGTTCACTACAATAATTACAACCATTCCAATGGCATGAGTAAAATGACATAAGCAAAATAGCATGTATGTCTGTCTTCCACCCATCTCATTATACCCCTTCTCTCTCTGTCTTTTTCCCTCTTTCCCTTTCTCTCTCTCTATTTTTTCTCTCTCTTCCTTTCTCCTCTCTCTCTCTCTCTCTCTTTCTCTCTCCCTCTGTCTCTTTCTCTTTCTCTCTCCCTTTCCCCTCTCTCTCTCTTTCTCCCTTTATCTCTCTCTCTCTCTCTCACTTTCTCTTTATCTCTCTCTAAAGCAAAGAATAGAGAACAAGGTAATGAGTATTATATCTTACATACTCTCCACTTTGTTCTTCTTTTCTTACTTTTATCACATTCTTTCCTTACTTTTATCACTCTCTCTCCTCTTCCTCACTTCCACACTTTGACCCCACACCCTCTCTTTTGTCTATAGATGCCTAATTCTATTTTTGTATGATTAATTTTGTTTCAATATATCCTCCTTCCCTCAACTCTGCCTATACCAGCTTCTAGTACCACCTTCAAGTGACTTCTCTGTATTCTGTGTGATGACTGAAGCATGGAAAGCAGACAAGGTAAACAGACAACAGACTTATTTCCTAAACCGTTATAGGACAGGTTTTTTATTTCAAGGGCTCAATTTATCACATGTTGTTATTCAAATCGGCAACAATAATGTTTTTTGTTAAATTGCTTTACATTAATAATAATAATAATAGGCATTTGTATAGCGCTGTCTATCTAGAAATTCTATTCCAAGCCCACTAATTATTACTCTGGCTAATTGACAACATTTTTCATATAGAGCCCCTATTTCATTTAATATATAAATTGTTTTTTAATTGGAATAAAAACTTACCGTATTCACCAGAGTAGATGAATTGTAATTCAGTGTTATTTTTATGTATTTCTCCTCTTTAGAGTTCTCCAACACTTCTTGAAAGCCAGTGCCAGAGTCCAAAAACAACTGAAATTAAACAAAGAGAATATGTACAGGTAAGTACAATGATTAAGTAATTTGAATTAGTAAATGTTACTGTGAATATTACTTTCAATTGATTGAATGAAGAGTATTATATATCCTCTTTTCATCACAAAATTAAATGTAGTGATTGTTTCAATCATTTTGCATCGATTCAAACTTGAAGGGTTGCAAGAAATCAGAGCTTTTATCGTCTGGGTTTGTTTAATTAAGCCTCACACCAAAGGCACTTAGATGTTCGAGGAGAAAGCAAACAGTATGGGAAATGCTTGTTTAAGATTGATTGTTAAGCTAGAAAGGGACATTCTTGTCTGACACGTAGACCATATTGTTATTCTTCCTGTTTAAGAATTATGTTCACATGACAAACATCAGGTGAAATATGAAGAACATTAATTAATAGGGAAAGGCTGCCTTTGGAGGCATGCAAGTCAGCTGTTTATATATACACAACCTGTCAAACGATAACTTGCCTATAAATAGCATGAATCTGTGAAAACACAGACAGATTAAATGACTTGTATTGAACTATGGTGAGGACCTTGTTGATCGACACGTGTACGGCATTAAAGATAAAGATGAGTTCTGGTCATGCGATTCGCTTAGTGAAAGAAACGGTTAAGAATTAATCAGAAAAAGGTGATCGTAAAGCATGAAAGTATTGGTGTGTATTGCAAAGTTATGGAATCATCAAAATGATAAGAAATTTGGCCCAGTCTTGGTAAAAGTAACAAGCACTGTACACAGAAAAATGTATAGTATGGGACTGCACAAGCATGTGGCATTAAAATGTGGTCCTAATTTTTAATCTGTTACATATGTCATATTTAGAATATGAAGGCATTTAAAGAGCTATGATGATTTTCAGGTAACATTTTTTTCTCTGGTGTTCTTCCACACTTGCATAAGAACAATGATAATGCTCACAAATTATTTTTCACCTCTCCCCAGAACTCGACCTTCTCTTTAAAGAACCATGCTTTTCAGAGAACATTTTTTTTCTGATGTTCTTTCACACTTGCATAAGAACAATGATAAAGCTCACAAATAATTGTTCACCTCTCCCCAGAACTCAACCTTCTCTTTAACAATGAATCACTGGAATTCTTCTTGATCTATACAAAATATGAAATATTAATTATTGACCCGCACGATGTTGAATGATGTTATCAGGCATCTACCTCCCCAGCCAAAGTTGGCATGAACTCTTTGCGTTGATATATAGACATATATATTCCAGATTTGAAATTAATTTGAGATTTGATATGTATGCAGGCAAGTGTGATAAATAGAGCATAACTTGAGGAAATCCTACAATGATTCTGCATGGAAATACTGTTGGAGAAGTGTATTAAGAGATTGATGATGATGATGATGGCATATGGTTTAACAACTTTAATGTAAATTTCATACAGTTTGTTGCATATATATCAATAATTTCATTTTTGTCTTCATATTTTTCCCTCCATAGGGATTTTATTGATTTTCATTTGCAAAATAATTAACAAAAGTTTATTCAAGGTAATTTATATTCATAAAGTAAATAAATTGATTACTCAAGATACAAATGTTTGTTGAGCTGTTGAGTTAACAGAAGAGAAATGTATTTTCAATGTTGTATTTCTGATGTTCATGGAAAGGATGGAAAAACAATACAAAAGACACATGTTATCGTTTGATTATTGGGCTATACAATTACATTGTTGTGACCACTGCTAATGATTTGGAAAATATATCTCAATAATTTCATGGCTTGTTACACATCCTGATAATGAAAATTGAGAAACACAATTCCAAACAACCATTAGGTCGGACCAATTATCAATGAAATGCACCAAAGTCTGCACTCACCTTTTCTGCATCTAGTTTGTTCTTCTGTTTTTATCACCATTGGTGTTCAATTCAATTTCAATTTCAATTTATTCATTTTTCCAACCAAACATTACAAATCAATTATAAGCATTTAAAACAAATGAAGAAATACATGTTGGAAACAGAGGGGTCCACTAAAAAGTAATGCTTGTACAAGTGTGAACACCTCAAATGATACTTAGGAATAATGAGTAATTAAATTAACTAATCCGTAACTACAAAAGGAACTACAAAATAGGGGAAAGAAAAAGGGGGATGCCAACAGAGACAAGAAAGGGACAAGACAATGCTTTACACGAAATTCTTGTGTATATATTTAAATTGCCTCATGTTTTTACCATTCACATATTTGCACATTGGCTGAATAGGTAAGAGTAGGACAAATCTAAGGATCGCTTTTTCTAGGTATTGTTGTGAATGAGAAGTTTCCAACAAAACAAAACAAAATATGACACTGTAATGTGATAACATTCACACTTGAATTTCTTATACCATTTGTGATTTTTTTAATTAAAATACAAGTAGTAATTGTAGAAATATGATCATAACTGTTCTCCCTCCCATGTTTAATTGGTGTAATATTTCCTGTACTCATTCTCCCTGTAATTTTACTGTATTTAGAAAAAAAACTGCTAGACATCACCTGACTTTTCACTTATGTCCTGGATGAATTTGACAAATGACTTTAACTGAAATTGTGTGATTATTAGGATTACTCATATCTGATTCTATCCATCATTTGTGTCATCTATCACAGGAATGGTCATATATCACACCAAAATTGCCATACAATATAATGTCCCCTTCCAAGAAATGTTCAATCATTTTGTGATGATGTTAACACAGCCTATGTTAAAAGTAGGGACAGCACCTTATTAGTTTGCCATCTATTGTGGTATATCTGTCTCAGAGGTTGATTGCAATATTTTTTCCATACCTCTCTGTTCTTTGTAACTCTCTTGCACTCTTGCAGTATTATATTACTTCGGGGGAGTGTTTCTCAAAGACTAAAATCGACTTTCAGTTGGACTTAACTATGGCAGGCTGTTCATGCCATTGTTTGTTCTCACAGTTTACTGGCATTGGTCTCTCAAGGGACGCACAAATCATGGTCACAAATCTACAGAATTTATATTTTTTGAAAATTCATTACTGAAGGAAAAAATATTATCCAAACATCATAACGGTGAGAGGAAATAGTGGCATGAACGGCCTGCCATATTTAAGTCCAACTTAAAGTTGATCTTATTCGTTGTGAAACACCCCCAGATCTTAATGTTCTCAAACCGTTTGGTACATAGTTGACTTCCCTCATGGTCTCCCTGGTCATTTTCCACATGCGAACAGACTAGACCAGCAATTTCACTAAGCTCATTCTCATTATGTCATATCTCATTAATAATTATAATAAATATTAATGGGTAAACTGTTCTCCCCGAGGTCTCTGCTATCATATGGATACTTGGGTGAAAAATCTCGCTCGGCTCGGGACTTTGGATCAAAATGAACAGTATTGTTTAGCGCATTATTGCTTCTTCACTAATTATTAACATTTCATAATTCGTTGGTATTTTTCATGGATACTTTTTTTTTTTCTTTTTTTTTCTCCATTTTTTGGACCCTCCAACAGGCCATTTATTGAAAATCAATCTCAAGATAACATATTTGAACACATGTTCCAATGAATTTCATATAATATTTCAGAATAAGATATACATAATGGATATCAACTAGAATACTGTATATACAGAACATACATGTAGATTAGGGAAAGAAAAAAAAAAAAATAAGAATGCAACATCATGACTGAAAATGATGTGGGAAATTCAATATACTCCTATTAAACGATCAAAATCCTCTCAAAATTGATCCATTTTTTATCGAATCTGTCAGTTTTGTTAGCAAATATACTAACTTGCCTCTCATTTGTGTAACTATTCTTGATATATTGTTTTATTGTCCGAAAGGACGGTACAGACTTTTGTATTCGAGAAAAATATAATTGTTGTTTAGTCCAAATTATTATACAGTTTAAAGCATCATTTCTTTTTTCAATGAAACCTAACAAAACATGTATTAAGGACAGATTTATTCTACAGCATGTTACAATAGTTAACCAGTCAGTCAAACAACTCCAAATCAATTTTTTCATGGATACTTGTTTTAACCTAGCAGCCTTACAAGCTGACACCCATTCTCCCATACGATCACGACGTTGATGACGATGACGATGACGATGACGATGTCAGTGTATTATCTCTTGGTCTCGATGTTTTCAACAAACCCCTACCTGGTGATGTTCCAAACAGATTTCAGAGATTGACTCATACAAAACTCCCTAAACTCATGATACATGGAAAGGTAATTCGTACAAGTCAACTATGATAATATTTCAACTGTGCAGATTTACTGGACCCAGTATAAATATTGAACATGCTAGTTACATTATATTTCTATGGAGAGTCAATGCTATTATGTTATTGAAATTGTGCATTTGTAATATGTTATTGAAATTGCAAATTTGTAATATGTTATCTATGATTTCTATGTTGGCGTTACATATGCTCGTGCCTCGCCTTTCTTTATATTTTTATTGTTTATCCTTGATTTGTTACTGTCTTATTTGTCCTTATGCTATATTTTTACCAGTCTTCTGAGTGCATCAGTTGGTTGGGCGGAGGGACCTTCACGGTTACAGTAATTAAGTTTGCTCTCTTCTTCCCTGGCCGCCATCTTTTGCACTCAGAATATTGCTACAAAAATTTGTATTTGCACATTTTTTGTCATTCCAATTTTGTATTTACCATGTTTATATTGTTAAATTGTTATATTTCTTGAAAGTGCCGAATAAATAATACAATACAATACTTCAGGATTAAATTACTTTGTTAAAGGTAATACAAAGTTTTGGTATGGAGTCATGGATTTGGTTCAAATGAACATATTGGAAGCATATACGAACCTACAATATTCAGAGATCGTTGTCGAGGTTGAAATCAAGTCTAAAGTTATGAAATTGTAAATAATAGACGCTTTATGTTGTATAGCTCCCTCTCAATGTCAAGATATCAAGCTATAAATAAATCTTTCTGGACTAAAATCGACCAATGAGCTATTCCTGTTTGGAAATTATATAACACAACTACATATTCTGTGATTTTCATGGTCGCAGCTACCATTGTACGGCCATAGGCGCTATTTGAAATTTATCAAAATTTACCAGGAGCACCGGTAAATTTTTATATTCAATTTTTCTTAAAAGCAGAAGTGTTTTCGGGGCTAAATTTTCTAGTGCTTACAGTATAATACATCAACAGGTGCATCCAAATATATCAAAATTGTAAAGAATCACTATCCACTCAATTTTTAAAAATTTCCCAAAACTTTGTATTACCTTTAACTTTCAGGGGTTGATACTCATATAGAATGATCAATAGATGTTATTCATAGCATATTCACCATATTCACATTCACAAGGATGAATAGTTTTGAATTTCTCACAGCATGTATTGTGTTCATACTTTATGTGATTTACAGAATAGCTGCATTAAATGTCAACATGTATTAAGGGATTTATATTGACATAATTTGTTTTTCTGACAGGAACTATTTTTCATAATACTAGTAGTTAAGAATAGCAGTCGCACAAGTAGGTTTTTCAAGGGGGATATACTTTTCTCTTCTATAAGACTGACTAATTCATAAAATCAGCATTTTTATCACTCTCTGAATAGCATTTGAATGACTTAGAGTTCTTACATAGTAAAGTGCCCTCTCCCAATAAAGATGGTCCTACTTTGATAGATTTTTTTTTTAAAATTTAAATATGTACTTATAAAATACATGCCCTATAAATTTTGCTTCATTTATGATGTAATAATTATTTTCAGAAGAAGCCCGCACAGACTACCATCAAGACTCCCAGGCCTAAAGATGCAAAAGACAATTCTAAAGGTCCTCCAACCAAACAAGCATGGGTATGAAGACTCCTGATTAAAAATTGATAAATTCTGTATCCCTTTTCATTTATAAATGTGTTTTCTTTAAGTTTTATCTGGTTGCTTAATTGATATAGAAGGTATTTCTGGGGTTTTTCTCACTAAATTGAAGTGAAACTAGCATAGCTATTTGAGAACCTATACTGAAACGACTTCTTCAGATTTGTCTCTTTTGCTTATGTGCCATTCTTTATAAAAAAAGAATCCACATTATATCCTCTTCTTTAAACAAATACACTTTACGTAGTGTGAAAAAAAAAGCTGAGTCTGTATTTCGTTAGGGAGAAAGAGGATGATAGACACTGTATTCTCTCTCTCTCTCTCTCTCTACCTATCTTTCTCGTTCTCTTTCTCTCTCTCTATTTCTTGCTTTCTCTCTATTTCTCTCTCTCTCTCTCTCTCTCTCTTAGTCACTCTCACTCTTTTTTCTGTATTTCTTGCGCTCTCTGTATTTCTTTCTCTCTCTCTCTCTTTCTGTCTCTCTCTCTATATATATATATTTCTTTCTCTCTCTCTCTCTCTCTCTCTCTTTTGGCTGTGAGCCACTTGACCAAAGGTCTGCAAGACCCTCAGTCTGCAGTGGGCCTTTCAATCAGAGTCAATGACCCCTCCCCCTGCTAATGTCATTCTAGAAAACAGAAGAAAAACAAAAACACCACTGCAGCTTAATCATCACATTATCCTCTGTGTTTTGATTATTGCTGATTATGAGTGACTGTATTTTGATATATCTAAATATATCTTGGTATTTTGATATATCTCTGATGGAAGTAGTCAAGAGAAGTGATTGAGATTGATGGGTCATGTGTTGAGAAGGGGAAGGTCTCTCTCTCTCTTTTGGCTGTGAGCCACTTGACCAAAGGTCTGCAAGACCCTCGGTCTGTAGTGAGCCTTTCAATCAGCGTGAATGCCCCCCTCCCCCTGCTAATGTCATTCTAGAAAACAGAAGAAAAACAAAACACCACTGCAGTTTAATCATTAAATTATCCTCTATGTTTTGATCCATGCAGGTTAAAGGGGAAGTCCATCCTGAAATTAAGTTAGTTTTAATAGGAGTAGAAAAATGAGAGAAACAAGTCAGTGAAAGTTTGAGCAAATTCCGATTAAAAATAAGGAAGTTAGGATTTTTGAAGTTGTGATCAATCAAACACAAATTGGCAACTCTATGACGTATCATGCGAACTCAACTTCCATTTGCTCAGTACTAAAAAAATCTAAAATTTTCATTTTCCCTCAAGAAAAATTTCAACCATACATGCACCCTAAATATAATAATTGCAAATATGTTTCTATACTCCCCCTGCAAGGAACAAATATATATTCCGTCATCAATAACGAAGAAAACATGATTTTATGGAATATTATGCACAAAGCAAATGAAGGAGAGCTCGTATGATAAGTCACAGAGTTGCCAATTTGTATTTGATTGATCACAACTTCAATAATACATAACTTTCTTATTTTCATTCAGAATTTGCTCAAACTTTCACTTACCTGATTTTCTTATTATTCTGCCTCTATCGAAACAAACTTATTTTGGGGGTGGACTTTCCCTTTAAGAGTGACCATATTTTGATATATCTCTGATGGAAGTAGTCAAGAGAAGTGATTGAGATGGATGGGTCATGTGTTGAGAAGGGAAGATGATGGAAGAGCATGGGATATTGAAGGGGATGGCATAAGAGGGAAAGGAAGACCAAAGGTTCCATGGTGATGAAAGAAAGCAGGAACTAAATGAGGAGGATATTGGATACAAGAGGAAGTGGAGGGAGAGAGTGTCATCATGGTGCAAAAGTCAGTACCCCTTCATAAGCGGGAAAATGCTAATTTTGACAAATGATGATGATGAAATATAATTTTTTCATTTTGCTTTCTACAGTCTAACTCCATTAAGAAAGAGAGGAAGAGACTGAAACATCTTACAAAGCTCAGCAAGTTCTCTGAACGCAAACTCCCGGAGATAAAGACCACCAAAGTCATGAGGTTTGACCCCTCTAGACTTGAACCATGATGCTGCCATCCACTTCACTTCATACATGTAACTCCAGGGCCCCGTTTCACAAAGCCTTTTTTCAATGAGAAATTACAAAAATCAGTGACAAATCTGCTGATAACCAATCAGAAGTGAGGATTTCAGTAGCGTATAACAAAAATTGTCATTTGTCACTGAGGACACGTTTTGAGAAACCGGTCCCAGACATCTCCTCTATTCCAAAGTTTTTTTTGCTGCTAACTACTCCTGTCACAAGGCTTGATCTGTACATTTGAACCTTGATGCCAGAGCACCTCATAAAACCTTGTAACATATTCACTGGCCTAAGCTTTCAGGAATGAAATCCAGTCCTGTCACAAGACTAGATCTTTAGACTGTGACTGAAATGATGAAAAATTGATAAAAATGGGAAGGAAACCAAGAAAAGTCCCCCCACAATGTACAAATAGAGTCACAAGACTAGATCTGTAGTATGATCCGTGATGCCATAGCACCACATATAAAAGCCTTGTAACATATTCACTGGCCTAAGCTTTCAGGGATGAAAACCAGTCCTGTCACAAGACCAGATCTTTAGACTGGAATGATGATGCCAGTGAACCTCACAAACCTTCAAAAAATATCCAGTCCCAATCTTTCTTTGATGTAGAAAAAGAAAAAATACACGACCCCCCCCCCAACAGATCGAGTCACAAGACCAGATTTGTACATTTGAATCATAATGCCAGTCACTCTATGAAGCCTAGCTACATATTCACTGGCCTAAGCTTTCAGCAGGTGGCTTTCGGTGATGAAAACCATAATAATAATATTCCCTTCTTGTATTGTGCTTATCACGATATAATGGAACAGCATCCCTCTTTCCATAAGGGAAATTACCTATCTTGCCACCTGCAAAAGATCCCTCAAAACTCGCCTTTTCCCCCAATGATATACTTCCTGTACTGTACATTTTTTACTTCTTTTCATATATTTGTATTTGTAAGCGCTATGGTACTTGTTGTTTTTGGCACTCCTAAATATTCAATATTATTATTATTAATGTCCCTATGTGCTCCCAAAGAGCTTAAGAAATTATTTCCCTAGCTTTAGCCATGATTTCAATTATCTGCTGGTGACTGCTGTCAACCAACTGGTATCTGTGTAATGCAGGACTAGACATACTGGAAAGATAAACCATTGACCTGTGTATTGATGGAATTGAGAGGGTGATGACATCCCTTTAATTTACAATGCTATTTGTACCAATGGTAAACAGGCTAGTTTTATGTCTTTCTGAATTTATTTACCAAAATCTGATTATCAAAGATTGCAACGGACCTGTCTCCAACATTTATCTTGTGAATTTATTTATATCTTAACCATATCAGAATTGAGGTTTTAATTCTTAGAGCTAATATACACTAAATATATAAATGTACATTGTAAAATGCTATGCTTCTTCCTATAAAAATTGTATAAAACACTTCTCATAATGTAATGTATTCTGTCAAGTTGGGCATGTATTCTTTGTGTTGGTATGTTAAAAGCAGTATGCCATTTTCTAGTAAAGCATGTACATTATCAAATAAAATTTCATGGTATCAAAATTGACGGATTTATTGTGTATTGTACTGTATAGTGAAAGAATGCTGTGAACAAAAATCTCTTTCCAATATGATCATGCTGTATTTTCTTTCATTGATTATTTTCTTTCAAAATAGAATGGGATATCGAAGGTTACACATGTTCAAGTAGGAATTCCCAAACATAAAAAAAAAAAAAAAAATGTTGCCCTGTCAGTGGTTTGAAACAATTTATTATCCAGAAGAATCTGCAAATATTGATACAAGTACAACAGTATTTTTAAAAAACGATTCCAAAAACAGAGACTCAAGATTCATCCCTACCATGTTAATGTATAATTTAGAGAATAGAATGCCCGTGAGACTTGAAAGAAATTCGATATTCAGAGTGTTACAGAATAAATAATATATTTAATATAGAGTATTAAAAAAGAGGAAGTTACTTTTGAATGACTTGAATTGAGAAATACTATGACAAGAGAACAAGAGGAGAGAAGGAAGGATAGGGAAAGAAATTAGGAAATAGACATGTATAAGAAGTTTGAAAGAGAGGGAGAGAGAAGGGAGGGGGGGGGGGACGACGGAATAGGTAGAAGTTGAATCTTCAAGAACATAATTGTAGCACGACTATGGATCGAACTTCAGTGCAGTATCAGTCTCTAGAAGTTCATGTGGTGTTCAGGTACAATATTCTCCCTTAAAAAATCCAATCTGTAAGGGCATTTAAACGGTCAAAGGGTCGGGGTCACATGCTATGTCAAATATTAAAGAAGCACTGTTTACCACGAATATTTATAAAGAAATAATACAATACAACGGAGAAGTTGACAACCCGATCTTTTTCCCTTCAAAGTGAGGCGCCTTAAAATCTACTAGAATACTCATTCATGAATTCGTTATTTGATTTGGGATAAAATTCGATATGCAACCACTGATAGCTGAGTAACCTTTTATACACACAATAAACCGTCTGATTCGATTTCACGAGCCAACACTTTATGCGTTGGCTGTCGGTCGCAGGTTCTCATTCAGTAAAATAATATCCATTCTCTTCTCTAATTCTATTTCGCTGCAATCAAGGGAGCAATGACTATCAAGTTGGAATAATTTTTTCTTACCTCTTTTTCATGAAATGATTTTGACTTAGTCATGAACAGTTAAAGTTAATATCTTCTCAGAACTTTCTTTAAAAATGTTCGTTAATCAATCTTCATTGATCAATTAAGGTTTATCTCCCAAGAATAAATCATATTGACGCAATCAGTTCATGAAAAGAGGTAAGAAAGGTATACTCCAACTTCTTGCACACACTTGCACATTTTTCTTCTTTTTTCTTTTATTAATTTCTTTCCACTTTTTATTCAGATACTTTCTGAACAAAATCTTTATATGTGACTCTCTATTCCCCTACATTCTCCTAAAACAGCGCCATGTAGGCATGTACCCCCCCCCCCCCTTCCCGGCTGCTATCGACTCAAGCTTCCTTGCTTATGATAGTTGGCCTCTGCATTTATCTTGATTATTTTTACTTACCTCCATACTTTCAAGCGTTCAATTATGCATTTTTTAAATATTTTATTTTGTGTGTATTAAGTTGTCACTCTTGATGTAAATCAATTATATTATATACTATTATTGTTATTTGAATGTTTTATATTTGATTTATCAATAAATGCAGAAACATCTGGTAAAAAAAAAAAAATGGGCAAAAGTGTTTTATCCCTTTGATGTTGTTTCATTATTCCCGTGGCATAAGGCGCGTCATTTCGATTGCGCTATTACATGTTCGAGCCTTCAGGCAATTAGTGCATGCGCCAATTATTTTACGCGTTTTTCCATGCGTTTAGTTCATTCACTTTTGCACGATGTCACTCTCGCACGGTGCACCAGCGGCCCGCTTCGCATGAGGCGTCATTTGGATTGCGTTATTACCCTACGCTAATTTTAAGCATGTGAAGACCATACGCCAATAATTCAACGCATTGTGTGGATTGTCCATTTAGCAATTAGTTTCGGACCGTCTCACCATGATATGATGCGTCGAAACTCGCGTCAGTCGACGCTTTGAGTGCAACGGTCTTTGTTGTTGTTTGGATACGGAAAGGAACACTCTGCAATCAGATGTGCTGTCTGATTTTTAAATGCGGGTAGTCTTTCAAAACTAAAGAATAGCAAGGACTACTATTGAATTTTTGTGTTAAATTTGTTACAAAATTATTGCCTACTTCGTAAATTCTACTTTGCAAATCGCACGACTCGGATTGCAACTTGGTACCCAGGGATGTTTCCCCGAAACGCCATGAAAAATTAATGACCATTAACTGACATTATTTTACCCCCAAGGAATCTGAATAACTATGTCAGACCATCTCTCGTTACCGATCGATTTGAACACTATACATTTCTTGTATCTCGGGAGAACTATTTTCCTCAAGGTCTGCCATTTTAGTCGGATGATTTTGGAAATAGCGCCTACGTAATAAGCTTTATTTAGCAGTGGTTTACGTTAGAAAAGCGTTGGCCAAGGCCCATTAAGGCAGTTGATTTGGTAAAAATGCTATTTTGTCAGTGCATGTGACGGCCTGAGCATGAGTTATTTTCTTAGCGCTATCATTCAGAATTTCAGGGTCATAGTTGAGTTAGGTGGGGGGGGGGGGGCAGAGGCAACGGACCGACTTCCAAAGTGGGGGGTTGGGGCACCAACAAAATAGGGCACTTTCTGGAAAAAGGGCATCTTCCAAGGAAAATCTCAAAGCGAAAATATACAATTTTTTAAACATTGGTATGTATATACCCCTATATTGTGATTACATTATCAGGGATGATTTCAATATTTAGTTCCTCTTAATACAACATATAAGATATTGCTTAAGCATCATACTTCGCAGTTGGGTGTGATGGTCTTAAAATTCATTTGCGTGCGAGCGAGGAAATTTTTAAAGATTTTTGAGATCGTAGTGCGAAAAATTACTTAAAGAGGAAAAACCCAATCCTGATGGGGTTATAAGCAAATTCTCATAACGGAAGACTGAAAAGACCTCTGATAAGTTACATAATTATAACATCTATATTAAACTACGAGCGAGCGTAGCGAGCGAGCTTTGCAGAAAATTGCTCTTAGTCGCTTGAAATTAGGGGCACGTTTAATGATGAGAGGAAAAGGGGACACTTATAGAAAGGGTTAAAACACGTATTAGAATAGAAAAGGAGCATGTGTCAAAGTATAAAGGCTAATTGTCAGAGGTGAAAATGGGGCACTTCTTAAACCTAAAAAAAGAGGCACGCACCAGGGATAAAAAGGGATTTTACTAGAATTGGAAATGGGCATTTTTCGACGAAAAAGAGGCACTCATCAGATTTTGATATGGGCATTTATACGAAGTGAAAGGGGGGGGGGGCATTTTGGATAGGTTCCTTATTAGTAAGGGGAAAAGGGGCTCATATCATAGTTAAAAGGGTAATTATTAGATGTGAAAAGGGGCACTTAGGCGTTAGGCCTATCGCATCTGAAAAGGAGCATTGACCATAAATAAAAAGAGGCACTTATGAGAATGAAAAAGGGGCACTAATGATAAAGGAAAATGTGCATTTGTTGAAAGAAGGGGAGGGGGGTAATCGTCCTAGAGTGTGGTT